TCAAAATATGCCTGTTTTGAATTAACATATACAGTTGTGATTCCCATAATCCCCACATAGGATGGGAGGTTTCTGTATTCTACTTTATTAATTTCTCCATCATTTGACTTTTTATTAAGTATGCATTATTTATATTAATCAGAGAAGGATGGATGGAACTGGTGGTCCCTATCTGTGATCCCAGAACTCAGGAGGTAGAGCCAGAAATATGGGCTACATAGTGAGATATGATCACAGAAAGAGAGAGAGAGACAGAGAAAGAGGAAGAAGAGGAAGAAGAAGGAGGAGGAAGAGGAGGAGGAGGAGAAGGAAGGAAGGAGGGAAGGAAGGAAGGAAGAAGGAAGGAAGGAAGGAGGGGGAGGGAAGAAAGCAGAAAGTTTCTGTTGGAATAGCTTTAATAAAAGAAAACAATCTGAAGTGTCCCAATTAATGACAAAGAGCATAGTTGGTAAGACCCAGGAGTTAACATCTAAGGGTAGGGGGAATCAACAAAAAATTATTTTTTATTGAAACCTTGACCTAAATCCCATCACAGTGACCACAGGGGTCCCTATACCCTGTTTGCATATTTGGGGCGGGACAAATAATCTCAAATGATCTCACAGTAACTGTGGTTCTCCTTCTGGACTGCCCTCCTATCCCAAAGCTCTCTTGCTCAGTGTCATCCTCTCACGCCTGAACTGTAGCCAGTGTTTAGGACACAGTGCTTTCCCTCTCCAAACTGGCTTAGCAGACATTTACCAACTTCTCCCCAGGTTTGTTTCTTGAGGTTTTTCAGGAACCTGATCCAGGACCTATCCTTTCTTTTTCTGGTTAGCATCTGTAATGGCTCAATTAACACTTTTATTTCAGAAATCTCTTGGTCTTTAGAGTTGCGGTTCTACAGCTTTTGTGGGTGTGCCACCTGTACCTGGATATAGCCCTTCAAAAAGAATGTGTTTGTGATAAATAAAATGCATCAACAATAGCCAAGGAAATAGAAATAATGATAGGTAGTAAAAATATGTTTCTGATCAGATTATATATCACACTCCCAGTAGAACTACATCATTTATTTTCCCTAAAGGTTAGGTTTAAGCCTAATCCCCACTCCAGATAAATAGAGAAGATGATCCCACTGTTGCCTGTACTAACAAACCCATGAAGGCTGAGGGGACAGCCGTAAACCACATGAACAGGCAGAGGCACTGGAGCCCTAACATACCCCATCGCCACTAGGGATTGGATTTCTATTTTAAAGGAGACACGATTGAAACTTCTGTCTCCTGACTTTCCTGTAATCCTTCATTTAGTCTAGCTCAGTGACTCTCACATTTAGTATATATAAGAATTATCATATTGGATAGCACACACAAAACCATATGTCCTATACTTTAGAGGTGATCAGAGGGATTTTCAGAGATAATTTGGTTTGTGCTTAATTTTATCTTATCTTCTGATTTTATAACCATTTTGTTCCTATGTTTAATATGAGATCTGGCTTTGCTTGAGGGAAACATTAGAAACATAATTGAAGATTCTGTGTGCCATCTGAGGAAAAACCAAGAAGACTTAAAGTGCTCTACATACACTATTCAGCCTCCAAACCAGTCTGTAGTGATTGCTAACTTGACTTTTAGCTGCCCGGGAATCCTACAGAAGTACAGGCAACCATTTCCCCCCTCTTTTCCAGTAGAAGATAGAGTTCTGTAATTAGACAGTCTTTAAAAATAAAAACAAACCACCAGGCACTGGTGGCTCACGCCTGTAATCCTAGCTACTCAGGAGGCTGCGATCTGAGGATCACGGTTCAAAGCCAGCCTGGGCAGGAAAGTCTGTGAAACTCTTATCTCCAAATAACCACCAGAAAATTGGAAGTGGTGCTGTAGCTTAAGTGGTAGAGCACTAGCCTTGAACTGAAAAACTGAGGGACAGTGCCTAGGCCCAGAGTTCAAGCCCCACAACCAACAAAAAAAATAAAAAATAAAATAAAAAACAGCAGTATGGCTATTGCAACTTTAAGAGAGAAATAGGAGAATGTGAGATGTAATTCTAGATGCCAATATGAGATGTAAGTCTTTGACCTGCCAAGCTGAAGAAACTTTAGAATGCAGAACTGTCCAATTTTTTTCACAGTTCTCCCCAAATCACAGGGTTCTTTTTGAAGTTCCCTTAGACTAAGAAAATGTTTTTCAAAAGAAATGGATTTTACTCAGTAGACATTATGTTGAAAGTGAATTATACAACTTTGGAGCGGGGATGGGAGGGAAAAACTGGAAGAGAGCAAGGGAAGGGGTGACACTCTCCACACACAAAAAAATGTACTCTTTACTGACTTATGAAATTGCAACCCTTCTGTACCTCATTTTTATAATAATAACTTAAAAAACTGTTTTTAAAAATGATGGAACTGTTTCAAACTTCCTTCCAAGGAATATTACCAGATAACCAATAATGAATAGACACGAGAAGAGAGACTAAACATCATCATCATACCATACAGTCTCTTTTTCTGTTTTCCGTGGGTAGCTCCCCGAGGTTACTTAGAAGACATTGTCTGCACTGTAAGATCACCTTTGAAAGGAAGCCATACTTAACATTCAGGTTAGTGCTAATGCACACCTGTCCTCCTAACTACTCAGGAGTCTGAGATCTGAGCATCATGTTTTGAAACCAGCCTGGACTGAAAAATCTATGAGACTCTTATCTCCATTTAACCAGCAAAAGACAGAAAGTGGAGGCATGGCTCAAGTGGCAGAGTGCTCTCCTTGAGCATAAAAGCTAAGGGATATGGATCAGGTCCTGAGTTTAAGACCCAGTACTGGCTCAAAAACACAATCAACACAATCATCATCAACAACAACAACAACAAAACCCCACTTTTGTCCTTTGTTCCCCAGTGAAGTTCCTTCCCTGGTGACCTGTGAAAATGGGTATGTGCACATTTGGATCTCCCTAGGCTTTGGCTGGGGGGGGGCAGTTACTCCCTTATGACCCACCCTCAATTCACTCCACATTAATTAATTCACACAGCCTTCTCTCCCCGTTCATGGTTTCATTGCATTTACATAACCCACTTCAGACTTAGGTTCTCTGAGAATGAGCTGAGGCCATGTAGCCCTTAATCAGATGAATAAGGGGATCAATAATGAACGTAGAGTGTTCTGCCAGTTGTAGGGCTCACCCCTAGAGCGTGAGCGAGGTAGGAGTGTGACGCTACAGGACAAGGTGAAGTCAGGGTGGCTGAATTTGTCGTGCAAGTTGTTACAAAAAGTTTTGTTCCTCACAAAGGCACTGGCCTGCTGAAGAGGAAGAGGACAGGAGGTGGCTTCACGTGCTTTTGTGTGGGGACTGAGTCTGGGGGAGGGGTTTGATGGGAGCCGGGGCCACCTTTTGGTCAACATGGTCCAATGCAATAATATAGGTAGGTAGGGGCAGGAGACAACTTCTGCAGCACATTGAACTTCACATAAGTTAAAGGATCACTCTAGGTTTCGAAATGGCTGTGACGCTAATTCATTTTTTTTCACTCGGTGTGCTTTGTCCCTGTTGGAAATGGGCATGTAGCATTCAAGCTGTACTTAGTCCTCTGAGATTTCTGTAATTAAAGGAAGAGATAGAACCAGGCAGGAAGCCAAAGGTGACTGCCAGTTATTCTGGCACTGCCAGTTATTCTAGCTTTTGTTTTACAAGAAGTCTAAGCATTTAAGGGAAGGAGATGTATGAAAATTTTGCAGACATAGACAAAATATGTTGGTAAGCATAGGAGAAGCAATACAATTCCTTGGGCTAAGGAGAGAGAGGGATAGAAGGAAAAGTAATGTCAAATAAAAAACGAAAATTACCTGTATATAAATTCTGAGATTTTTTTTTTGCCTGTAATGGGGATCGAACTTAGGCCCTCCAGTTCTCTGTGCTTGTTTGCCTTTTTTTGCTCAAGGCTGGTGCTTCACCACTTGCGCTGCACATCTACTTCAGGTTTTATTTGGCGAGTTGGCTAGTTAACTGGAGATAAGAGTCTCGTGGATTTTTCTGCCTGAGCTGGATTTTAACCTTGATCCTGAGATCTCAGCCTCCAGAGTAGCCAAGAGTACAGATGAGAGCCACCACTGCGTGATTAAACTTTGAGATTTGTAGGTATCACTACTGCCTTTACATGTATATATCAAGACGGTTGTATCAGAATCATGATTCTTTGCCTGCTGGGTGCCAGGCACTGTATAAAGTATGTTCATGTCTGCTCCCTCATGTAATGTTCATAAGTGGACTGCATGGCCAGTGATGTTACCATATTTTGTAAGTGAAACATTATGTCTCAGTGATGCAGCTGATAAGTAAAGGGGCCAGGGATGCAAGCCAAGGTGTTTTTTTCTCAGAGATTTTAGCAGAGAGCTCCATTATAGTACTGGGTCTCTCTCACAGAGTATATAAAAAATAAGGATACCCAGAGGAAAAGCCCACACATCACTAGATCAAAAGGAGGAAACTTCTGGTTAAAGAATAGAACTGAGTATAAAGCTAATGCAGCACCAATCTGTTACCACAGACTTCTCAAACAAATAGACTTTCACTCTTTTCCATACTAGATTTCAGAGGCTTGTCATTAGAGCTAGCAGGTATTGAAAGTGTTTTCTACATTCTTTGGTTATGTTTAGGTTAATAACAACAAAACAAAAAGCTTATGTTCAGCCTATATCATTTCTAGTCTATCGATTTACCTGGACACTCCTATTAAGTATGAAACACTATTGTGCTTGTCTACTAGCTAGAAACAATACAGGATTTCACACACACACACACACACACACACACACACACACACACACACACACAAAATCATTCATTCAATCAATCAAATTAATCAACTTTGAATTTTCCAGCTAAACTTGAGCCCCAATAGACATATTTGCATCAATTTTTTGAAAAGTAGTCTAATTTTCCAAAAAGTCTGGCGCCAATTTAAACATTTTTATTTCAGACTTTAGATATATAGTATTTTCTAATTCACAAGTCTAGGTTACCTGGTTAGGATCAGGTTCAATTTCATCCCAGTTGCTAGTGAGATGGCCTTGATCAATGGACTCAAAGGGTTTGTGAGTAACTGAAGGTAGAATCCGGTATAGCCAGCTAGGGGAGAACAAGAACACATGTTACCTGGGATAATGCTTGAGTGGCACAAAGACTGGTTCGGGAGGCACCATCAGAATGACAATCAAGGCAATAATCTATGGGCTTTATTGTGAGAAGCAATGATAACAGCTGTTGATCTGCCTTCTTCTCTCCTTTCCACGACGCTTAGCATTCTTTACTTATTCCCAAGATACAAAAAATAAAGTATTACCTCTCTCAACGCTTAGAAGGGATGAGGATATACCTTGAAAAATATCTGTTCAGAGAAATCCATAAACATTATTCACATCCCAATCCTTGCTCTAATCCTTGCTAATCCTTGCTCTCTAAGGTCAGAACAATGCATCCTACATAGATCACAAGAATATGGTTTGTATCACTGTTATGTTTGAAATATGAATCATTTTTGTATTTTAAAATTACAACATAATGCAGTTCAATGATAAAATTAATCCAAGTAATTCAAAAAGTGTTGAAAGGTAAACAGATCCTTCTCCAGTTTCTATCACTTGAGCCACAGTGTCACTTTCAGATTTTTCCATATATGTGGTACTGAGGAATTGAACTCAGGGCTTCATGCATGCTAGGCAAGCATTCTACCACTAAGCAACATTCTTAGCCCATAACTCTTAATTTTATTTTGTATTTCCTTTACTAGGAATAAGTTTGAGAATATGCTCATTTCCTTATATTAGCCTTGTGTAATTTTCCCCCATGAATTACTTGTACATGAATCACTTTTTCAGTTGGTCAATTGTCTTTTGACATTATTTGTAAGAAGCTTTGCAAATCAACACTTCTGTACCCCAAACTTATAAAAGTATGTGCCCATGTTTTATTATAATGTATTGATGTCTTTCTTTTTGGTTTTCTTTCCTTTCTCTTCTAAATTCTACTGTCTGTATATTTCAAGGCCTGAGCCAAAGACCTCTCAACCAAGAGGAGATCTCATAGTTGAGGAAAGAAAGCAAGTCTGGTGAAGAAATCCTGAAGCCAATTCCAGGAAGAGAGTCCTCCAGAGGGTAAAAGGGACACTAAAACTCAGTCTGAGGCACCCAAGTGGTTCCAGAGTCCTTCCTCTTAAAGGACATGGGACAAAAAGTCCTACTTCTGGCAATGGAAGACCAGTTCTACTTTTATAGCCTTTGACCCTTTGTTCAAGGACAGTCTGACCATGGCCAGGAGAGGGAATGTTGGCGTAGGGCAACATCCAGCCCTTCTGAGAGATAAACAGGACAAGTTTGTTCTCCTCTCCTAGGATTCCTCCAGCTCTTGAAACTGTGACCTCAGACTCTGGACTTAATCAGCCTGCTCTATATCCACTAGTATGTGGTGAGGTTGAAAGCATTTGTGTGTATCTTAGCACCAGCTGTGCAATTCTGGGCAAGTTACTAAGTTTAATGGATATTTCTGTTTTTTTTTTTTTGTTTTTGTGTAGGTCCTGGGGCTTAAATTCTGGGCCTGGGCTGTGTCCCTGGGTTTTTGTGCTCAAGGCTAGTGCTACTGTTCTATCACTTGAGCCAGAGCTCTACTTCCTAATTTGGGTTAGCCCAATGAACTCCTTTCCTATAGCTTCGCATGGTACTTCCTCCTTCCACGGCTTGGCATGCTCCTTTCCTAGGCAACACTAGGACCATGTAGTAAAGGCAGTAAATAATCACCCTCTAACCACCTTTACCTTGGGATGGCACTCCTCTGGGGCAGCTGCCACCATATAAGTCAGCAAGAGTCCCTTACAGTGACCTTCAGGTCTGGGCAGCTGCAGGACCCCTTATCTACTACTTGAATAGCAGCCATAAATCCTAGTCTGCCATGATGAAGCCCCTGGTTACACGTTCACACTGGGGTCTCTGCCTTCTAGCCCCTCCTCACCTCAGTAGGTTATATAGGTCACCTCAGACAACAGCTGGCACTTCTCACTCCTCTCTTGTAAGAAGGGGATCTTGCCTTGCCAGTCCTTTTTGTTCTTTGCTCTTTGTACCTGATGTCTGCGTAGCTTTCTGGCAAAGTCTAATTTATTCTAACAGGTACTTAGTTGGAGATAAGTCTCACAGAATTGCCTGCCCAAATCTCCATACTCATACAGCAGTCTCCTGAGTAGCTAGGATTATAGGCATGAGCCACCATCACCTAGTAATGTTCTTTAGCTTTGTCTTCTGCGATTGCTGGGAGTACTAAAAGAGTTCATGTATCTAAAATGCCAAGCACAAGGCAAATGCTCACTTATTAGAAGCTTTTTAAACTGTTTGTCCTCCCTTAATCATCTGTGCTTTTATCACAGTCTATACTTTCTCCATTCTCTGTCCTGTGTCTCATATTCTCAAGACCCAAGGGATCATCTGTCTAACTGATCTAATAGAAATTAATCCCTGAGACACAGACAAAAGTTGCTAATAATTTTGCAGTTCCTTGCACTCTGATTTCAAAGAATAGTGACTGAGAGTTTCAGGCTGGCTCATCTATATTTGGGGCTGGACCTAACTTCCTACTGGGTATGAATATTTTCAGAAAAATTCTTATGGATACCTTTAGAGCACTCTAAATGGATAGGTAGGCCATGCCTAGAATCCCTTATTTTTTAGCTGAGTTTATAAAACTCCTCAGGCAGCACTACATTGTCCTGGACAGAGATCTAATTCTGATTCAGGAAAGGTTGCCAGCTTCTTAATGAAATGCCAACAGCTCCTTTTCAGCCTCCTGGAACAGAGCTCAGCTCCTGCTGGCTGAAGATATTGCTGAATAATGGAGGCAGGCAGTAAAATCTGGAGACCAGGTGGCCAGTTAGAGCATAGACCATAAAGTCATGAACATAGTCACTGTAGCCACGTTGTCATAAATAAGAATGGAGAAGATTGTCTGGAGCTTACCTGGGTCTACTTAGGGGGGAGGGTGGGAAGGAGGGAAGGAGAGAGAGAGAGAGAGACAGACAGACAGACAGAGACAGAGAGAGAAAGGGAGAGGGAGTGAGGGGGAGGGAGGGAGGAATTACCTTAGGTAGCCAAACTCAACTGGCGTCAAATTCTTAATCCTCCTGTCTTACCCTCTCAAGGGCTGGGATTATAAGCATTTACCACCATGTTTGACCCATCATTTTCTTTTTTAGTTTCTTTTCTCCTAATTCTCCACTGCACATACTTATCAAGAGAAAAACAATATCGATAATGAAGATAATATACCATCTGCCATAGCTTGTACTCAACTTTCTGACAACCTCCCAGAGATACCATGGAGTGGAAGCAGGAACTCAGTTTTGATGGCAGTAAATGCCCAAATGATGGTGATTTTAATAGTAAGTAATACTGCTTGAGCACATGTATTAATTAAGCATACCATGTAGTGTGCTATTAATTTTTAAATTTTATTTATTTATTTAATTAATTTTTTTGCCAGGCCTGAGGCTTGAACTCAGGGCCTGGTGCTGTCCTCCAGCTTTTGTGCTTAAGGCTAGCACTTTACTCCGCATGTGACAGCTCCACATTTGGCTCTTTGGTGGTTAATTGGAGATAAGAGTCTCACTGACTTCCTGCTTAGGCTATGTAAGGCTTCTATTAGCCCAATAGCCTCCTCTCACATAGCTTAGCATGCTCCTTCCCTAGGCAACACTAGACCCATTTGGCAAAGGCAGTAAATAATTGGCCTCTACCCTACTTTACCTGAAGATGGCACCCCGTTGGGGCATTTACAACCATATAAGGCAATAAGATTCCCTTAGAGTGGCCTTCAGGTCAAGACCCCTTATCTACCACTTGGGCAGCAGCCATAAATACTAGCCTGCCATAATGAGCTCCCTCCCTGGGCCACATGTTCACACCAGGGTCTGTGCCTCCTAAACCTTGTAGGTTATAAAAGGTCATCAGACACAATAGCTAGCACTTCTTCTCTTGTGAGAAAGAGTCTTGCCAGTCCCTTTTAAAAAAATTATTGTAAAGATGCTGTACAGAGTGGTTACATTTATATGAGTAAGGTACGTTTCTTGTTGAACATTGTTACCTACCCCATTGTTGTTCTCTCACTATCCCCTCCCTCCCCTCCTCCTTCTCCCCACTCCCCCCACCGCGAAGTTGCAAAGTTCATTTCCAACATAGTGTCCAGTGGGTATCATTGTTGCAATGAGTTATCTTTTGTACTTCTTCCAGCATTTTGTTATTTCCCTTCCCATGCCCCAATAAGATAAATGCATATACAAGATGGAGGGTACCAGAATCAAAGACAGAGATTGCCAGAAATAAACCAATGAAAAAAAGAAAAATGAAATAAAATAAGGAGAAGGAACTAGATATATAGTATATTGGCGACATCAAAGTTGACAACTAAAAAAAAAGACCTGTTGTTTACATGTCTTGGAGTTTATTTCAATTAACATCATTTTGTATGGTCATATGTTCATAACTCTTGAGCTATTATGATTCCCTGTCAGGATTAGGCTTATACTAATCATTTCAAATGAGGGAAACCATAGAGGCTATGTTTCTTTGGGTCTGGCTTACTTCATTTAATATGATTTTTTTCCAAGTCTTTCCATTTCCTTATGAAAGGGGCGATGTCATTCTTTCTGATAGAAGCATAAAATTTCATTGTGTAAATATACCACATTTTCTTGATCTGTTCATCTACTGAGGGGCATCTGTGTTGGTTCCATATCTTAGCTATGGTAAATAATACTACAATGAACATAGTTATGCTGGTAGCTTTGGTGTGGCCTAGTTTGAGATCATTTGAATAAATGCTCAGGAGTGGGATTGCTGGATCATGGAGCAAGAGGAGCAATGGAATAGAATTGAGGACCCAGACATGACTTATGGCTACCTAATCTTCAATAAGGGAGCCAAAATTATCAGATGGAAGAAAGACAGTCTCTTCAACAAATGGTGCTGGCAGAATTGGCTACACACATGTAGAAAATTGAAGTTAGATCCTGCACCAAAATCAACTCCAAATGAATCAGACGTCAAGGTAAAAGAAGAGACCCTGAAAGTATTACAGGAAGGGATAGAAGATATGCTAGGGCTACTCGACACAGGTTGAAACTTCCTTGCCAGTCCCTTCGCTGGAAATAAACCTTTCTTTGTTCTTTGTGCCTGAATACTTGCATGGTTTTTCTGGCAAAGTCTAACAGCTTCTAATCAGCAGAGGAAGATATTACTGTGAATCTTCTCATTGTAATTTAATCATTTTATATATAAATGATATATTAATATTAATGCATAATAATATTAATAATATATCAACGATAAAGAAATAAAATAAAGCAAACAAAACACAACTGGGAAATCTTTGGAAGAAGGCTGGAGCATGAGAAACATTTCTTTCTGAACCCTTAGAAAGAATCTGTAAATGGAACCGGGCTTGGGTTTTCCAGACTGTGTATAGCTGTTCCCTTTCTCTCTCCCACTGGTCCTTTGATTCTAGCTGGGGACAAGACATAGTATGCCTGGCTGTGACCCATGACCCAGATGCACTGGAGAAGAAGGACCTTGGGCAGCCCTGGGAGGCTGGGTCTCAGGTGTAGGACACAGCACAATGTTCTGGCCATAGTTCCTACAAGCTGAAGGCTGTAATTAATCTAACCCCCGTACCTTCTCTTATTGGTGCTCCGTGGACAGGTGAAGGCAGATCCTGAGAGCTGTTCAGCATACAGATTGTAGGGGCAGACTTGAGGGTTATTCTAGAACAAAGGAGATAATAAACATTATCACATGAATTCATAAACATTATCACATGAATTCAGAAAGCCTCTTACTCTCCCTCCAACTAACTCAGTAGGAAATCCTGCTCTGCATGGGATGTTCTAGGCCATTGCACATGACTCTACCCAACCCACACATACTTCTTGTAGTGACTTTTTATGTGATTTCCTTCTGCCTATAAAAGGAACACATACTTCTTATAAAAGTATGTGGCTCAGGCTATAATCCTAGCCACTCCGGAGGCTAAGATCTGAGGATGGCAGTTCAAAGACTGCCCAGGCAGAAAAAGTTTATGAGACTCTTACCTCCATGATTTCACCAACCAGAAGTAAGCCAATGATAATAATATTTGAGTCTGTGCTAAAAATGGGTATCTTAGGATATGTGCCATCCTACAAAAATTGGGACTTTTTTTCTTTTAAAGGACATATAATCTCATAAGCATTTTTCATGCCATGAAACACTCTTGAAAAATTTTGGAAAAAATGTTTTTTTTGCTATAGTTTTGCAACTATAACCAACACCAGTATGAATATCTTTGTGCATCCATTTGTAACATAACTTATTTTCTCATCATTATTATATTAGATGCTATTCAGGGAATTACCAGTGAGTGTCCCTAACCCTGGACTTTGGCATTTGTCCTGGAAGTCCTATAGTTAATCTTATTAATTCAGGTTTGGAGCTTTGCTCTCAATGGTAAATGTCAATTCACTTAATTTTTTTAAAAAATTGTTATTATAAAGGTGATGTACAAAGGAGTTACAATTATGTAAGTCATGTAAAGAGTACATTTCTTTCTGGACAGTTCTCTCCCAGTTTTCCTCTCTCATCCCCATCCACAAGTTGTAAAGTTCAATTCCAACCCGTTTTTTAAAATTTAATTTTATTGTCACGCTGATGTACAGAGGGGTTACAATTACCTGCTTAAGGTAGTGAGTACATTCCTTGTCATTTTTAAACTTTCAATTTTGTTGCCCTATGTCCCAGTTGTCTTAGTGACTTGTGAAAACCTAGTTAGTTGAGCTGATTAGTTGAAAGTGCCTTGTTGGATGTGAGAGTCAATTGTCTGAGTTATTCCATTCATTCATACCTGCCCTTCTGGTAAGGAACCTGGACAGCGAGGGTCTTCTGAAGTACACTCGTTCCCAAATCCAGAAATGTACTATACATGAAAAAGACACAAAATAATACCATTAATGGATTTAGAGTGAACACCACAACATTAACAGTCCACAATGGTTAGAATTTCTATATGGATCTTCCATATGTAGTATCTTGAGTGTGTCTTGGCATGTCACTATAGTCTGCATGAATATTAAAGATGTAATAGTTAACCAGAAAAAATTCTGGGCATTGCGTGTAATTCTCTTTCCTTACCTGTATGTACCTGGCTGATGTTATAAACGTGTGTTTGTGTGTGTGTGTGTGTGTGTGTGTTTTGCCAGTCCTGGGGCTTGAACTCAGGGTCTGGGCATTGTCTCTAAGCTTCTTTTGCTCAAGGCTAGTACTCTACCACTTGAGCCACACAGTGCCACATTCTGCTTTTCTGTTTATGTGTACTGAGGAGTTGAATCCAGGGCTTCATGCATGGTAGGCAAGCACTCTACCACTAAGCCACATTCCCAGCCCCATATAGGCTTTTTTATTTTTTAATGTTTGTTTTTGTCAATTTTGGGGTTTGAACTCTGGGCCTGGGAACTAGCCCTCAGCTCTTCAGCTCAAGGCAAGTGCTCTACCACTTGAACCACAGTACTACTTCCTTTTTTCCGGTGGTTAACTGGAGATAAGAATCTCACTGATGTTCCTGGCTTTGAACGCAATTCTCAGATCTCAGCCTCCTGAGTAGCTAAGATTACAGGCATGAGGCACTGGCACCGGCTTGGCTTGTTTTTAATGATGCCCTTTCAACTAAAACCTCTTTAATTCTGGTTCTATCTGCGAATTTGGAGAAAGGAAATGGGATAAGCATCACCTCCAACCCAAATTAACAGGATCTTGCTAGACCTAGATTGCAATTTCTCTGAGCTTGGGGCTTCATTTCTCTTCTATACATAAAAAGAAACTTGAAACCAGACACTGGTGGCTCACATCTGTAATCCTAGCTACTCAGAGGCTGATATCCAGAATATTGTGATCTGGGGCCAGACTGGACAGAAGTGCCTATGTTTCCCTTCAAAAAGCAGAGCTGGAAGCATGGCTCAAGTGGTAGAGCATCATTTGAGTAAACATGAAATGTTCAATTCAAGCCCTAGTAACACACACACACACACCAACTTAGAAGTATGTAGAACTAAACTGACAGCAAAATCCTTGCCAGAAAGCTCTCTCCTGACTTGCCTTCTTGCAGGCAGAAGCCCATGCAATGCTACTGTGATTGCTGTTTCTTAGCTTTGTACCCAGAAAAAGAAGTCAAAAGAGTTTCTCAACAAGGTGAATTATGAGGCTCCTGTGAAATTCACTAGTTTTTTCATGGTGAAGAATGCTTTATTGGTGGTTGGTACAAGTCAATAAATATTGATCCCCAAAGCAGAGCTCAGTAATTTAGAAGATTACTGGCCCATAGAGAGCTGAATGAAATGGAACCAAGTGATTGCTAGTTTGATTGACGCCCATTCTGCTTCCTGGGAAACAAGCATCTAGTCAGCTGACACATGGCCTGTGTATTTCATCAAGTGTGATGTCCATGGTGGCTCTTGATGGGTCTGCTTCTCCAACCTTTGGGCACACTGCAATTCCATTCTCCTGCTGCTTGAAACAGCTTTTGTTTCTCTGCAATTTAATGTTCAAGATGCCTGCCTGAAGCAGTGTTTATGGTCCTTTGGGCAATCTGATGAAGAGCCAGGAGATTCTGTGACATCTTGGCTCTGTTAACTATATACCAACCATAACCTGAGACTTACTATTATGCTTGTGTGGGGAGGGGGAGATGGAGGAGGGAGGGCAGCGTATTACTAGAGATTTAACTCCAGACCTCATCATTGCTAGGTAAGTGTTCTATCACCTGGGCCTTTTGAGACTTCTGCAATACTGAACACACCTGACTTTTGTCATAGGTCTCTCACTGTCTGCACTCTTTATTCTTGCGTAAATCTCATGAAGGCTGGGACTATGCCAGTCTTAATCACCTCTACCCTAAGCCTTGTCTCATGGAAACTAGTAGATATTTATTGACTGACTTAGTTCATTTAGAGTCAGTTCTCTGAGTCCATGTTTGCTGTGGTAAGTGGAGTTAGAACCTCTTCTACTCTAACTTAAACATGGATTGATTTTAGTCCAGGCTAAATACAGTACCGCCTTGCTGGGTGAGTGAAATGCCTCCAGCTGAGTACGATTCTTCAGGGGTATAAGCAGGGTGGCTGTGGGTGAAGTTTTTGACAGCTTGGGGAAGGATGAGCTAGCTATGACACACCTGGATGTGTGAGCAATGATCAGGCCAACAGTGTCTATATTTGGAAGAAATAGGAAATGTAAAATGTTATGACCTAGAAAGCAGTGAGGTGAAATTATTATTTGCCTTTATATCCTTTTTTTTTTTTTGGCTCTGTTGGTGGTGATGCTCGGGATTGAACTCAGAAGCTGTATGCATGTTAAGCATGCTTTCTATCATTGAACTACACCAGCAGTCCCCATGATTTTTTTTTTTTTTGGTCCGTTTGGAAATCTTTCATTGCACAGACATACACACATCCATCCAGCAATATAATCACACTGGTTCATAGCAGTAGCATGAAGTCTGCAATGCCATTTTTGGGGGGAACGGCAGAGACCATCCAGTATCTTCATTCTCCACAGAATACAATTTTCTTCTCTCAAAATGAACTTCATGCTCACCATCAGCAGGATTGCATCTGAGCTGCTGGGAATGGGTAATGAGCTCAAATTATCTTTGCTTCTGAGAAAAAGAATTTTAGACAAGCTTATGTCTGAAGCCACTGAGTATTACAGTGCTTCCTTTTGTGCCTCAGCTGCTGGTCCTATCTATAAGGAAAAAGGAAAGTCTGAGAGCTATCTACTCCAGCTGAGCTTTCTGGAACGTATGGGTGGATTTGCTCATTAACCTTCCCCATTCTTTGCAGTTGCTGGCCTCCGAATAGAGGACACAAAGGTGTTTAGAACAAGGAAAAAGAGACTTAGTGTCTGTGATTCTGAGATATTTGATTCAGGCTGTGCTCTTAAAAAAAGAAAAGCAGAAAGAACAGCTGGTGGTTTGGAAGGGAGCCACTGAGACTGAGGCTGGAAAGAGGTGTGAATTCTTAATCCATTTCTCCATCTTAGTTCAGTGCATTGGCTGGTATGTGTGTGGAGGGAGGGAGGGGGGCTGATGAGGGTAGAAATTACTGAGTCACTGTTGATTTGGTTGGTTTTCCAAATCCTCTGAGAGCAGATTTACAGAGCAGGTTTTTTTTAGAGCCTTAAAATGCCATGTCCCTCACTGCTGAAGGCAAGTGAATTGAAGAAGCTGTATTTTGCAGCTGCATTCTCAAGGCTTTGAGCCCAAGGACAGAACCTAAACTCTGCTTTATTCAAGGGTGCAAATCCAAGCTTTCAACTCCAGCTGGCTCAATGGATATGTGAAGATATGCCTAATCCAACAATGAAATGAAATAAAATAAAAAAATTTAGAGTATGCTTACTTCAGTTCAGATTTTTGAATAATTTGACCCTACACAAACATGTGATTTTCTTTCTAAGAGAACTACATGCATACTTTCCAAATGAAAAAAAAATGACTGAGGTCCACATGACTTCAGCATTTTTAGCAGCTTGCTCGCATACAGCTTTTTAATTCTCACTTGGTCCCCAGGATATGATTAACTTGTCAGAGTAGGTTTAAGAGGTGCTTTCTCCCGAGTCAGAATCTAGGTAACACCTGATGGGAGGAGCAGATGGTGTACCCCACTTCCTTTTTTTACTTTTAATGAAAGAGATACAAGTCAGGGTAGAAATGGAGCTACTTCGAGCTTTTATTTCCTCAGGCAGAGAGTCCACCATTTCTAGTTAACCTTGAAAGGAAAAGAGAACTATATCTTAACTTGGGAGTGTTGGTTAATATATCAGAAAAGTCTGTTACACTTGTAAGTGTGGTTAACTAAAGGAAATTGGGGGAAATTCTGGATTTGGCTGTACATTAATTGTAAGCACTACTATCCTGTTAAGATGGACCTAAAAAGAGATTTGTTTGAAAAATAGAAAAGGGTGAAGACAACAGCAGATTTGAGTGATTTGCTTTGTAGACAAAGGAAGAAGCCACAAGCCAAGAAATGTAGGCATCTCCTTGAAGCTGGTGCAGACAAGGAAACACATTCTACTATCAGTCTCTAGAAGGAACCAGCCATGCTAACACTTTGGTTTTAGCTCAGTAAAACTAATTTCATACTTCTAGCCCACAGAACTATAACAGAATAAGTCTGTGTTGTTTTAAGCCAGTATATTTTTGGTAACTTGTTATAGCAACAATAAGAAACTATGTAGGGCAGTGGGTCCCCTCTTTGGCTAATTATCAGTATCACTTTAGATTCAAAGCTGGTGTATCAAATATCTATTGGTAGGGTTCCGAGTCACATATACGAACAGCTTTTCATTTTATACATGAGGGAATCAAAGTTTGGGAAGTGGAATAGCTTATTCAGGAACAAAGGGCAGTCCATTTTAAATTTATTATCTTCTAAATTCTTTCCCTAGTTGTGCTTTTATGTAAATGTGATTTCATTTGAGGTTTTATGTTGACATAGCCATTAAAGTAAGGGGAAAAAAGATGAGAAGCATTTTTTTAAAGTTATGTAATGCTTATTGATTAGGATGGCTATGATGCAGTAGTCTGGCTTTCTGTGTTTAGATCCCTGACCTCTAGAGCTAACCTCTGCTTCTGGAGATTAGACAGCAGGCTGGAAATGTCTTTGAAATTGAGAACAAAGACCAGTATGCAATTTATATTAGTGTGGTGTTGCTTTGAATACGAAGTTGCTTAAAATTACAGCAGGATTTTAGATATGATTTATTTATAAATGGTATAGATGCTCCCAACCCCTGCTGAACTTCCTTATAGGATTTTCATCAGAAAACGAAGTTTTTAAGTATTCTCTACACTTCAAAATTTCCATTACCTCCTTAGGTATGATGAACCCTGCCCAGTGCCCTAGATCCATACATCCAACTACTTCCTGGATATGACCTTTGGCTGTCCGTATGGCAATTCCAATTTCGTTGAAACACTGGAATTCCAGAACATGAAGGGATCTTTCTGCACATTTTGCTTTCTCTGGCCTCCCTCATCCTTTTTCACTTTGCCAATGCTGGCTTCTCTCTCAAGACAGCCTAGGAATGACCCCCTTCTGGAAGTTTCTCTTGATTCTCCCTAATGTGGACTTTGTTCATAGTTTTATTAATCTGCTGCATCATATGCTAGCACATATTATTTGATGAATGATGGGCTTAGTTTTTTCTTTTCTGGGGATTCTGTGGTTTGAACTCAGAGCCTCACATTCCCTATGGCCCTGGAGTCACACCTTCGCTAGACATTGGTTTAGACACTGGGACACACTGCTTGCTTGAAGGCACCAGTCTACTAAGAACAATCAAGCCTCCTTTTTTCCCCCAGCTGAGCTGTAGATTCAGACAAACCCAAGTTCTAGCATGGTGTACATCACCGACCAGCCATGAGCTTGGGATATTCTGTCGTCTCTTTGAGCTTTACTTTCCTCACTGGTTAAGTAGAAACAAGAATATCTATATCTTAGCTTTACAGTGAAGATTACAATATGAGTTAATTCAGAATTAAAATGCTTAGCACCAAACACTCATACTTTTGAATTGTGCCTTGAATAAAAGAACTATTTCCCAGAGGAGGTTCGAGGACTTGTACAGACCAAGGCTGATTCTGAATCTCAAAACAGCATATCTAATTGGCTGGACAGCAGCAGTCCAGGAAGTTGCATCTCTAGAATCATGCCAGAAAGCAGCAGAAAGATGTAGTGAGAAAAGTGTGTGCATGTGTGTCTGTGCATGCATGTGTGTGGTTGATGGAGGGAAGTCCTTAGAATGTCCACAGATCCCCAAAACAATATTTGAAATGAACAAAGGCAGGAGATGGCTAATATCTTTTCCTTGTCTCCCAGCCTCAACCATAGTCAGAGACGCTGCGGTGAAGCCTCTGAACACAGTGGCTTGGACCTGACCCTGCTCCAAGTCTTCTTCAGTTCTGATACCCTTGAGTTCTCAGAAGTTGAAGAAACCACAACAAACTTGCCAGACTTTTTCCTCCCTCCCATCTCTCCCCTCCCCTCCACCCTCCACTTTTTATTTTTTAAAAAATCTCTCCTCCATCCTCTTTTTGGCGCTAGAAGTGGAACTCAGGGCTTCTCATATGATAAGAATACTCTACTCTTAACCTATGTCTAGTCATACCTAGTCTCTGGTCTTTGTTAAAGCCCCAGCCAGATGGGGCTTACCTTCAACTCTGCCATTTTTCTTTCTGCTGCAAGCCTTCCGGAAACCCAGGCCAGAGAGTATGAAACCCAAATCCTTGTGTTTCTTCTTCTGGCTTCTCTCTGGATGTTCTTGATCTCACCACTTCACTGTGAATCCTTGGTCCACAGTTCACTCAAGAAGAATCACTTCACTTATAAACTAGAGAGAAAGTCCAGCAAATTCTTACACAATTACTTGGTTTTTCATTAAACATGGACTGTTTAAAGTTTGCAGAACCCAGCAGAAGTAAATATTGGCTAATCACTTGCTGCACTTAAAAGAGGCAGAGTTCTCTCAAAAGATTTGGGAAAGGAACTGTAGGAGTTAAGTGACTGCTGGATGTGGCAGACAATTCTTACTCAGGTCGGGAAGGAAGAGGAGGGAGTGTCAGTCCCCATGGAATCACTGAAAAAAATTAAGTATATTCTGACCCAGGTGTTTCTAGAGCTGCTTAAAGACAGGGACCAGCACCAAACAGTTTTTCTGCAGACTCCTTCTAGGGATGAGCTCAGGTTTTGGGGTAGACCATTTCCTAAAGCATTTCACTTCAAGTAATATGACACATTAACTATAACTTGTCTTAACTTCTTAAATATCTTGAGGGTTCTTGTAAATTCTTTAAAGAATATTATTTCCTAATGTGATCCTAGCTTACTCAGGAGGCTAGGATCTCAGGATTGCAGTTTGAAACCTGGGCAGACAATTAAATCCCAGAGATCCTTATTTCTAACAAACCAGCAAAAAAGCTATTAGTGGAGGTGTGGCTCAAATGGTAGAATGACAGCCCTGAGTGGAAAAAGCTGATTGAGAACTCCAGGCCCTGAATTCAAGCCCTAATACTGGCTCAAAATGAATAAATGAGTGAAAGTACAGTGTCTACAATCTATGTATTCTCTAATTTCTTAGTTTCTGTGAAATAGCAGATCCCTGGAATCACTTGGTTTGCCTGTCAAAAGATAAAATCCTGGATGTATTGCATATATACAGAACCAAGATAGGAAGGAGGGGGCAGAGATGAAATTCTGGAATCTGCATTTAAAACTTGTATTTCAGGAGATTTTTATGCATTGATGAGTTGTAAAGCAATTGATTTAAGTCCTTAAATGGAGATGTACATTAATTGTAACTGGAAGTCACATCCTTTTTCCTGCCCTATGGAGCAGCGTTGGCAAACTGTCTTCACACATTGTGTAATGGCAAACGTACTGTGAATATGTGAGGCTCAGAGCTAGAATTCTTAGAACTTTTCCCTCTCACCACATGATTTAGTTCAGTCCTGTGACTACAGAGAAATATATTCTTAATTTTTTCTCTTGCTTGTTTTTCTCCAAACACTGTCCTCCACTCTTTGAATTTTAACACATTAAATCAATAAGACAACCTGTTAGACCCCTAAACTTAAAATAGGATATTACCTGTAATTTAAAAAATTCAGTTAAGCCACCATCTAGTAAATCCACACACAAAGCCACTGTGTTGGGTACTGTAACACCATTGAAAAGAAGACTCAACAGCACAGATAAGGGCAGTATTTAGGAGCTGTTCTTCTCAGTCCAAGGCTCAGCACATCAGTTCTAGGAAGCTGAGTTTCAAAATGGAGAAAACCATCAGCATGGGCACCTGGACTATATCATGAATGCCTCATACAGGGAATGCTAAGAACTTGTGCAAAATCTAAATCAACCTTCTTTGGAATAGTTTTTTCTAGAGAATATAGGAAGATTTTTCTCCTTATTCATGGCAAAGGCATCTATTACAAAAGATAGATTAACAAGATAAAACCATTTATATAAAAACCCATAGTTGAATAAAGTTCTCCAAGAAATTGGAGAAGCTGTTGTAATTTTTACATACATTGAAACCTATGTATATCTGTTGTGCAGAAATACTATTGGGCTGGCAGAAGGACAGAGCTAATGAACTTAATTAAGTAAGGCCTGATGTTCACATTCTTCTTGGTATCTTTTGTCTTTGAAGGAACGTATCTCTAAATACAGATTTAGGGATCTATTTTGTGAGAATTCAACTAGGTTATTTTGTTGGTACTGGGGCTTGAACTAGAGTGACACTTCTAGCCAGGCTTTTTGCTGGTTAATTGATGATGATGTATCTTGTACTTTTCTGTCCTGGCTGGCTTCAAACTGCAATCCTCAGATCTCAGCCTCCTGAGAATCTATGATTACACAAAGAAGCCACTAACACCCACTTACACAGTTAGGTTTTAAGGCCTGTGTTGAGGAAGCGGGGGGGGGGGGGCGGGGAGGTAAAGGGCAGCCATGAGTGACCTTTCTATGCTTCTGCTGTTTTCTCAAATGCGTAGGTGCTACATTTTGCCATAGCATGTCCTAAACCCCACTGTCATTGAGAACGAGACAGTAGCCCAAATCCTTAATTGTATTCCAAATAGGGTCTTGCTCACCTGAGGGACGGATGAATGCCTATATGTCTCGATACCTGGTTGCCTCTACAATGAGTGAGCAAATTGGTTTAGAATTCTCTACTTGCACAGGGAGAACAAACAAACCAATGACTAACAAAACCTTTATTACTAGCAACTTATCCAATATAGAAGGTAGGAAAATTAAGAGTTAACTAAATACATTAAAAACCATTTGTGCGTTTATGCTCACATATTTTCTATAGGCAATTTTTATGACTACTTCTTAAAAATTATGCTTTAAAAGCATTCTTTAAAAAAAAGTCTGGCTGTTGAAGTTCATTTTGGTAAATAGCCTTATTTTGTTGCTACAAATTCTTGCAAGAAATTTACATTAGATAATTAACTTTATCTTAGAAACTATAATTCCAGGAATTGGGTTGGTAACAAGAAGAAATGGAACTAGGAATATTGTTAATTTTTTTAAAAATGCTGTCCCTGGAGCCATCAGTGATGGATTTATTTATTTTGGCGATAGGGATGGAACCAAGGGCAAATACTCTGATACTGAGCTAAATCCTTAGCTCATTTTTGTTTCTTAGTAAGGAAGAAAATAAAGAAATTTGGATGGATTTTTTTTTAATTTGAAAAGAAGAGAGGGAAAGATTTAGTTTTTAATTTTCAATTTCAATTTTTATTTTTATAGTACTAAGGATCAATTCTAGTGTCTCACACATGCTAAACAAGTGTACTTGCACTACATTTCCGTTGTGGGTTATGGTTAAGCTGTTTAACATTGATTTATTTTTAACAAGGACACTCCGAAGAGTTTTGGATGATTTAGGCCCTTGTGTAGCATTTGGTTTCTATTTCCCAACTCTATAGCCTCTGCCACAACACACCTTTGCCACATTTCACACACAGAACATGATTTGCATGACTCCATTTTATCTAAAAAAAAATAAAAATGAGCAAAAACAACCAGTGCTAGCTGCTGCAGTGAGTGAGGGAAGAAGAACAGGAGAAAAGTTCAGCTGATGAAAAGTGCCTTCAAAAGGCTTTTGTAAATTCCCCAGACTGCTGCTCCAAAAGCACTCACTAACATTTTAATATCCTTTCTCAGTATACCTTGGCTTCCAGAGTACTTCTAAAATTTAATTAACGTGGAAGAGAAAATGAATTTAGTTCTTTTTCACCTCATTTTAAAACAAGAATGAAAATGATTACTTTTTAATATGAAGTAAAATCAGGAGAGCAGAGGACTGCAGCAAAGAGGGAAAGAACACAGGTGATCTCACACACACACACACATGCAGAGAGCTTTATAGTGACGATGAACACTAAGAATCTAGTTCATAATTCATATAAATGTTTCTTATTTTTACTTTTCCCCCATAAATACATTGTTTTTTTGATATAAAAATCATATTCTTAGTTTTCTGAGTATAGCTAAGGGACAAGTCAGGAGTTGAATTTCCTTGAAAAACGTAAACATCAAAGAGTAAACATCCAATCTCTTACTGCCCTTGTGCAGGTTTTAGATTTCTTCCTACCATATCCAAACAGAAAACATTATGAGCCTGCAGACAGCTGCAACCTAAAGGATGAAGAAGCTGTCAGTTTATCACAGAATTCTTCTTTTCTGGTCCTGCTGTTCTCTATGTATTATTAATCTCTATTTATATTTAACTCCAGCTATTAGTCTGCCCCTCTCAGCCACCAAGCCATTTAGAAAGTAAAGGAGAGGGTTGCTATTTTTAGGCATCCCTGTTGTGTAATGAGGGTAGAGACAATTAAATAACACCATTTGGCTTCTTTGAAAATGAGGGAGATTATTTGAGGTGGACAACTCGGGACTGGTTACCTAACCTTTCCCCTCAAGAAGGTAAAATAAATAACAGAGATACATCTTTGAAGTACTTAATTTAGCCTTCAGCAATAAGTGTGGGAAAATTACAGACTCGTAAAGAAAGCCCTTCAGTTCCAAGCCAGAGTAAATTTTCTCTGCAGTACCTTGTCACTGCTCATTTACTGCATCCTTGTGAAAACTCCTCCTATTTTCACCAGGCTGTCACATGATCTATAAACAGGGGCAGAAGAAAGGTGGGGAGCACAAAGGACAGGGGACGGAGTTTGGATCTCCCCCTGTTGGGCTGTCCTTTCATTTTTCCATTAAAGGATAAGGCTAAAGGGTAGCATTTTAAAGATGCTTCCATCAAAAGGCCGAGATGTAAATAATTGACACAGCAAAAGGAAAGCTGTGACAACTGCCACTGCATGCTCTTTCTTCCAAGGGATGAGGGTACTTCAGTCATTATGAAGGTACATCAGTCATAATGAAGGCTCTTAAACGTTCCTCCCAAAAATCGTTTTCGATCAGGAAAACCTGGCATCTGTAGGTAAGACACAAGATCACATTAAGTTTTGAGTAGGGAGATCTGTTATTTTTTTTCCTGTTTTCTGTCCCTGTATTCCAGCCTGTTTACCATAGAACCAGCCTTTTAAAGTTTTACTCAGAAAACCACAGAATATTAATTGATAAAAAAAATCCTACCCAAATGGAGAACATTTGTCAACAAATTGGAGACACTGTCATCTAACTGGCCAGGATGAAGTGAATTTCCTAAAATCACAAACTGGACTTTTATGTAAACTATTTGTATTGTGACAGAATCTGTAAATAAATGTTTGAGTCTCATGGTTAATTTTGTTATTTTATACAACTTTATCTATAAATTTATCTTGTATCTTAGTTCTTCACTGATTTTTTTTCTTTTGTCTTTAACAGGATAGAAGAAAGTAAGTTCCTTGAGCCTATAGAGGGCTTTCCATCAACTTTTTAAGACCATTTCTGGAGATAAACTTAGAAACTATCCCTCTAAATTTAAGAACCCATTTTCAAGAAAAGACAGATACCAACCTGATTGCCATCTCTTAAAAAGTACCTCTTCTCTATGACCTGTGAGAAACAAATAAAGATTTTTGTAAGGGCTTAGCACACTTACCTAGAAAAAGTGACTAACTAGAAAATAATCTCATTGACAACAGCTTTAAAAGCCAAACAAAAGCAAAAAGTAAAAACAATAAACTAGGAATAAAGTCAACAAATGAGGTGAAAGATTTCTACAAAGACAATTAAAAACACTGAAGGACACTTTAGAAAATGGAAAGACTTCTCATATTGATCATCAGAACTAATATTGTGAAATGACCACACTACTGAAAGCAATATACAGAGTCAACACAGTTCCCATCAAAATACCAGAGCTATCCTTCACAGAAATAGAAAAATCAATCTTAAAATTTATATGAAAATAAAAAAGAACCAAATAGCCAAAGTAATTCTAAGCAAAAAGAAGCATCCTGGAGGTATCACAATACCTAATTCCAAATTATACTTCAAAGCAAAAGTAACAAAAACAGCATGGTAAGCTGGGCACAGTAGTTCACATTTGCAATCCCAGCTACTAGCAGGTAGATATTTGGGAGGATTATGGTTTGAGGCCAGACAGGAAAAAATTGAATGAGTCCCATTTCAGTGAGCTGGGTGTGGTGCCAAATTCCCATCATCCCAATTATACAGAAAGCCATAGATAAGAAAATGGCAGTCTGAGGCTGGCTTTAAGCAAAAATAAGAGATCTAGCAAGACACCATGGGCTCTACTTATACTCTTAGCTATTTGGGAGCCTGAAAATGGCCAGCCTGTGCTGAAAAAGTCTATGTGACTCTGTCTTAACAGAAGAAGCTGGGTATGGTGATCCCTGTTTATGGCAAGAAGCTTAAAACAGGTTTGTCAAAGAGCAAGTACCTCAAAAATATGCAGTACATAGCAGGGCACTGGTTGCTGGGCTAGTTAGCGGGCTGAGATCTGAGGAGAGCAATTCGAAGCTGAAAGAAAGGCTGCAACTCTTACATCCAATTAACCAGTAAAAAAACAGCCAGAAGTGGAGCTGTGGCTCAAAGTGGTAGAGCACTAGCCTTGAGCACTAAAGCCCAGAGACAGCGCTCAGGCCCTGAGTTAAAGCCCGAGGACAAGTTTAAAAAAACAAAAGGCAGCACAAAAAAAAAAGGGCTGGAGAAACGTCATTAGTAAATATAGTAGAGTACCTTCCGTGTGAGGCCTGAGTTCAAACTCCAGTACTACAAACAAAGCAAAACCAAAAATGTGAGACCCAATCTGAAAAATTATTAAACCAAAAAGGGCTAAGAGGGCATCGCTCAAGTAGTAGAGACCTTGCCCCCTCTACCTAACAAGTGTGAGGCCCTGAATTAAAACCCTAACATGGCCAAAAACAAACAAACAACTTCTCTGCCCTTAAAACAGCATGATATTGGCACAAAATCAGACACAGACCTATGGAATGAAAGACTCAGTATAGCCATCTGATTTTTGACAACAGAGACAATAACATGTCTCTAATAAGCAGCCTCTTCAACAACAGAAGGTACTGGGAAAACTGGAACTGGGTAGCCACAGAGGAAGACTGGAAATATATCCCTATCACTTACCCTACCTATAAAATAAATTCAAAATGGACCGAAGATCTTTACACACACACCCCTCCCCCCCACCACACACACACACTCTTACGCAGTACTGGGGTTTGAACTCAGGGTCTCAAGCTTGCTAGCTAGGTGTTCTACTATTGAGCTACATCTCTAGTCCTTTTTTGTGTGGGTGACTTTTGAGAGATAGGGTCTCATTTCCTGTCAAGTGTGTACCTGGACCATGATACACCTATCTTAGGCTTCTCATTACAGCTGGGGTGACAGGTGTAACTTCTACACCTGGCTTCTTTGTGTTGAGATGGAGTTGCATGGACTTTTCTGCCTGGGCTGGATTGGAGCAGAAATCCACATGATCTCAAACCTGAGACAACATACGCATCTCACCCTGCCCAGTTATTGGATGAAAAGGGTGTGGAGTATGAGCCCTAGCTAGTCTTGAACCATTACTTTCTGGAGCTAGGATTACAGAGTAAGCCACCGGCAGTTAGCTTAAATAACCTTAAATGTAAGACCTGAAATTTTGAAACTACTATAGGAAACAAGGAAAATACCTAAGATATAGGCATAGCAATGACTTTGTCAATAAGATCTCAAATGCCCAGGAAACAAGAGCAGGAATTAATAAATGGGTTGTATTACATTAAAAAGCTTCTACATATCAAAATGAAGAGACAACCTACAGAATGGGAGAAAATCTTTGCCATATATTCATTCAACAAAATATTAATATCTAGACTATATTATGAACTCAAGAGCTAGCCCATACTTGTAATCCTGGTTCAGGAAAACCCAAGAGATTCTTATTTCCAATTAACCAGCAAACACTGAAGTGAAGGTGTAGCTCAAGTGGCAGAGCACCAGGCTTGAGCAAAAAAAGCTAAAGGAGAGTATGTTGGCCCTGAGTTAAAGCTTTAGTACTGACACACACACACACACACACACACACACACACACACACACACACACACACACACACAAATTAAACACCAAAGAATGAATAACCCAATTAATAATGGACAGATGACCAAAAAGTTCTCAAAAGAAGTACAAATAAATGGGAAATACATGAAGAAATGCTCAAATTTTTAGATATGGAAGATATCAATTGTGGAAGAAGCAAAGAGAACTCAAGGCTTTAGCTAGGCAGATCCTTTTTCATTCAGTGCCTTTGGCAGGTGAGTGGGGAAAAGACATGAGTAAGTACATAAAGAAAATGGGAAATGGGTAAACATGAATTGTTTTAAGGGGAACTATGTGTCTTTTTCAGAGCCTCACTTAAATCTTGGAGCTTTTACCCTTTGCTTAGAGAAACACTGGTGATGGAATAAATACGTCAATAAGCCTTGAGCAACAACAGATCCCAACAGATAAGAGATGAAAACAGGTATTATTCAGCCTGTAAAGTTTTGGGCAAAGGGATAAAAGGACACAGTATTCTATAAAGAGTTTATATTCTCATTTAATAAAGCTTAACGATAATTGAAGGCATTACCTTATCAAAAAACCTACTAAGCTTGACAGCATTGGAAGAACCTGCAGCTAAGTACCGTGGATTTGTGCAATCCTGAAAAACATAAATTCCACAAATGAATGCTCAGAAGCAAAATCATTTTAAGTATAATAAATTTTATAGTAGTTACAATTATTCCTACACTAAACATTTTCAATATTCTTATAAAACACCTGAATAATGTTCAAATTACGATGTATAGAGTAAATAGGAAGATAGCAAAGAAAGATAAGGTGCTTTACTGTCATTTAAGCACTTTTAGTGTATGCTGAATCAATGTATTTATCATCAAATATTCCATGAAGACTAAATTCATTGAATTTTCTTTTTTTTGCCAGTCCTGAGGCTTGAACTCAGGGCCTGGGCACTGTCCGCGAGCTTTGCTCAAGGCTAGCATTCAACCACTTGGGCCACAGCACCACTTCCAGCCTTTTCTGTTTATGTGGAACTGAGGAATCGAATCCAGGGCTTCATGTATGCCAGGCAAGCAGTCTACCACTAAGCCACATTCCTAGCTCTTGTTGAACTTTTACAACAAAACTAAGGTGCTAATCATTTACCCCCAAACCAGAAATAGTCATTACAAACAGCAAACACTTCATTTTTTTAGGTAATAACTAACAACTTAAGTGTTCAACTACTTAATATAATACATATACTACAACTAGTTAATATAACTACTTAATACAGTTCATTTATTTAATATAGTACTACTACTTAGTACAGTACATACAGTAGGAAGCAGGTAAATAAAGCTAAAAGGAGCAAAGGAAAAACATTTGCCAAAACCTTCTCTTCATAGGTCACAAAGACATTCTGTTTTTAATGGTAATAAACAATAGACATGTTGCTACTGTTCAGTAGGAGTCTTTAAATAGAAAAAAAAATAGGGTTCAGATGACAGAATAATCTGGAATGTGAAACCACTACAATACTTTGTAAAGACCTTTTAAATAACTTACTGTCCTTCTGGAATTGCAGTATTGCACTGTCTTTGCTAGTCACTAGTGACCTTGCCAGACAGAGTAGACTTTGATGCTTACCTTAAATGCTACCTGTTTTATCCATACACAACATTTCTTGGATCACATTTTAAATTCTGGCCAGAGACTGTAATATATTCTTCAGCCCTGTCCACTTCACATCCCAAAGAGACTACATAACAAAGTTTTCAAAGACCACAAAGTACTAGGGAAATCAGACCCAGAAAACTCTATTTGAAAATCGGTGCCAATATTCCTACATTATGTAACACTGCTTAAGTTACTAAGCCTTTAAGCCTGGGCTTACTCATTTGTGAAATGCATGATAATAATTCTTATCCTATAGGATTTTTGTGAAAGTTAAATAGTGCATGTCTGGTACAAATCAGGTCTTGGAATATTAGTTCCCTTTTCTACTCTAAGAGAATGCTGTCAGAATTTTCAGATACAAAAAGCATCTAACACAATAAAGATAATTCCACAGATGGATTGAGTACACGAAAACATCATTGTACACACTGTTGTATTTAGAATAACACCTGGACATATTTCTATAGAACAAACTTTAGATTGGCATTAGATACATTTTAAAAAGTGGGCACTGGATTGTTTCTAACATATTTATAAGATTATGTCTTTGTTGCTCCCCCATGGTAAAACTCCTGCTTTCACTATATATGATGTTGGTATATGTGGAGGGGAAGGGAAAAAACAAATCGTTAAAACAGGGATACAGGAGGACCCATTGCAACAATGAGATGTACAAGTTGTTATGTCGAAAAACAAACTTTACAAATTTGGTGGGGGGATGGGGGCGGGGGAGGATGCTAAGGGATGGGAAGGGGAAACAAAGGAGGAGGCTACAATGCTTGATAAGAAATGTACTCATTATCTTGCCCATGTAATTGTAACCCCTCTGTACAGTATTTTCACAATAAAAAAATACGTAAAAAAAAAGTGGGCACTGATTACATAGTCATCAGAATGTGAAATGGTGATTCTAAACTAAAATACAAAAATGATATCAAACATCAAATAAGTGCTCCTGGCCTCAATATCTTAATTTCAGGGCTCTACAATTCAAGGACTCTGAAACCCTGTTTTTAGAGTGAAAATTTTGGAGCTGTAAAAGCCATTTGCCACTGGTCATGATTGAGGAAAAAGCCTGAAAATTAATAGTTCTAAATAGCTGTTAGAGCTTGAGAAGGGATCATTATCGATCTTTTTGAAACAAAAACATACCAGAAAAATTCATATTAGACACAGTAAGTCTAACAGGACTTTAAAGAATAAGCCATCTTCTAGCTATTTTTAAATGTCTTTTCCTTTTTAGTAGTGGGGATTGAACCCAGAATGTTACACTTGCTAGGCAAGTGCTTTGTCACTAACCTTCATCCCAGCTCTTCTATCTATTTTTAATTTAAATAATTTGGATTTACTGAGAAGATACCTTTAAATCAATTTTTTTTGATGTATACATTTGCTATATTCTTACTTTTCCATGGGATTTAAACTTAGGGTCTGGTCATTGTCCCTAAGCTTTTTTTTTTTGCTCAAGGCTAGTGCTCTACCACTTGAGCCACAGCTCTACTTTCTGCTTTAGGTGGTTAACTGGAGATCAGAATAAGCCTGCCAAGGCAGACTTCAAACTGAGTTCCTCAGATCTCAGTCTCCTGAGTAGCTAGGATTACAGGTGTGAGCCACCCATGCCAGACACTTTTCCATAGTTTTAAATGAATTCATTTGTGTCACAGCTCCACTTAGAACTAGTATTATTAGTTTTCAATTTGACTTTTCTATGTATTACAGAATCTTTTTTATTTCACTCTCTTTGAAGCCCTTTATATCTTATTTTCCTCCTGGAATTTTCTTCCTTGCATCTCATGACACTCTTCTATCACTGTTTCTGCTGTGATCTTCAAGCTGTACACTGATAAAAGCCAAAATCACATTGTATGTGAACTCTTTGGAGACTGTCCTGAAGTCCCATGTTGCATACCTTTACAGCTTGTTACCAAATAAAGGCCTCTACAAGGCAAGTAGGAATAACATACACCTAGCTGGTTGTCATAGAAACACATAGATACAATTACATTCAGAAATACCTTGTAAGTTTCCACTGAGATAGATTAAATACAATCAGTGATAGATGTCCCTTTGGAAATAGTGTTCAGACAAAGGCACCTTAGCATTTCTGCAGCATGGGTAATGTATATATCTATATACAAAAATCCTTTTGAATACCATGGTCCAATGCTAACTATCAGGAGTATTATTTACATTGAATCTTCCACAGTGACAGCTGAGGGAAAAAAGGCACCTTTTGCTGAACAATATAATGAACAAAAGCAATGGAATGGCAGGCAGAAGCTGACTTAGTTATGGGATAGAAGTGGGTGAACCAAGCTCTATTAATCAATGTTGGTTCAGAGCCAGAACATGAGATTCACCCGATTATTAAATTTTCAGTTGGAGTTATAAATATACTTAACTAGTAAAGTGTGTGCTGATAGCACTGCATTAAAAAAGTAACAAAAACAAAACAAAACAAAATTAGAGTCTTGGATTTTTTGCCAGACCTTAGAACAAACAGTTTCAGCTGGGGTGAGGGGGACAGTTAATTTTCACAGATACTGTTGGTAATATATACAGTTACATTTGTTGGTCTAGGTAACTTATAAGAGCTCTTTAAAAAAGTTAAACTTTTCATCTTAGTTGAAGGAAAATTATATGAGAAATAGTCTTAATTATACAGCCTAAACTCTAGAGACAGAGTGACATATTTGACCTAAAAGTTACCTGTCTCTACTTCTTGTCTTCATCTTTTAATGGGGATAAAAGTAGTATCTACTTCAAAAAGGATTGATGTGGAGATGATTCATGTGCAAAAATGTATATATAGCACTAGAACCGTGTTTGACACCTAAGTGCTCAATAAATGCTGCCCACTGTATTATTAAACCACCATCACTGCATATCTGGAATGTAAAACAATGAATATGTTTAGAAATCCCATTTGTGAATGATGCTATATAACAATAACTATAGATGCTGGCCAGGAACTTTCTCCGGGTAAGGCTATCTATGTGAGTACCATTTCTTAGCTTTTTTATCCTTCAATTCTAGCTAAACTAGCTATCTCAGGAAGGACTCAATCCTCTGTACATGTGTATGTTTTATTTTTTGGGGGGGGGTCCTGGGCCCTGAACTCTGGGCCTGCACACTGTCCCTCAGCTCTTCAGCTCAAGGCTAGCACTCTACCACTTACTTGAGCCACAGCACCACTTGCGGCTTTTTTCTTTTTGCTTATATGGTGCTGAGGAATCGAACCCAGGGCCTCATGCATGCAAGGCAAGCGCTCTACCATTGAGCCACCTTCCCAGCCCATGTGTATGTTTTATAAACTACTCCTTATGATGAACTTTGAAATTTTCTTATGTGATTTGCTGCCTATTAAGGTACATTTTTTAAAAAGTATTTAAGAAGTTTTGCTAAGGCAAAAATAATCAAGGCATAGTGTTAGCTTGGTCATTTTAATGATTTTGATTTTTTGTATATTTTAAAAAATCTTCAAGAAAGCATCTATGCCTACATTATTCATAGAAAAAAGTCTAAACATTCAAGTAGAACAGTCAAAGTGACTGTGTCCATCTGAGAATACAGATATGTTGATTCTAACCTTGACTCTCTCTAAATAGCCTGCATGTGAGTATGAAGGCTTCTTCCACTGGAATTATGACTTAAATGTAAATCTGTTGTTTTTCCATTGCTTAATAATAAAGCAAACATGTATTAGTGAAGATACATACCAAATTAATCTCTTCTGCATTGAAATCCTCAGCCAAGAAAGCAGTCCTAGTTAAAACTTCATGGCGCTTGGTCTCATGAATCTGATCCAGTTTTGTTCCTATTACCAACAGTGGGATTTGGTTATCAGCAAACTGCTCCCGATCATAATCACTGTGATAAATAATAAGGGGTGAACAGAGTTTACCTTTCCAATGCAGATATGTGAATTTAAATGTAGGTAATTAACTGATTCCTGCTTACCATCCTCTATAAGTCTCCTTTTTCCCAATTCTTTTCTCCTTATATTTGTTCATTTACCAATCCACCATCATCTGAGTTCCAACTATTCATTTAACTAAGAGATTTGTTCCTGAATATCTTTATTAAAGATAATGAACAACTGGATGTTCACGTATACTGTGATCATGTGTCTTCTACTGCTGACTCTTTGGGTTTTTTCAGTGTAGAAGCATAGAATAGACTCATATGTTAGTCTACAGAAAATCAAGAAGCCTGAACACAAACCTTGTGCAAGAGAGGAATATATCAAGTTTCTGGAGCAAGAATAATATCTATATCCATCACACACATTTCTGTCTATATATACAAAAGGATCAGATAATGGGGGACATGAAATAAGGAAGCTTACGGCTGAATAAGCTGAATATAGGTGATACTACAGCCTGGAGAAAAATAGATTAAACAACTAGAAATGGAAGGACAATAGCTGAACAGTAAATTGAATAGAAAAAGAAAAATATTTAGCACCAAATAATTATTATCCTGACATGAGAGCCATGGTAGACAGACAGTAGTAGTTAAATCAGTCATGGTCATTGACTATTACAATTCCTTTCAATTTCTTTTTTTAATGTTTATTTTATTGTAAAAATACTGTACAGAGGGGTTACAGTAACATGAGTAAGGTAATGAGTACATTTCCTATTGAGCATTGTTACCCCCTCCTTTGTTTATCTCCTACCATCCCTCCCTTCCCCACCTCCCCAACCCCTCCGTCCCCCCCCCAAGTTGTAAAGTTTATCCCCTCCAAGTTGTAAAGTTCGTTTTCAACATAGTGTCTTGTATATCTCATTGTTACAATGGGTCAACCTGTATCCTTATTTCAGCATTTTGTTATGTCCCTTCCCCTCCTTAGAAAAATGTATATACAAGATGCAGGGCACCGACATCAAATATAGTGCAAACAGGGGTTATACTGTGGGGGAAGAACATACCAAAGAAACAGAAAAATCACATAGTACATTTTAAATACATCAAAACCAATAGCAAGCAAGAAAAAAAGACAGTTGTGTCCCTATCTTGGGGTTCATTTCACTTAACATCATCTTATATGGTCATATGTACATAGCTTTTGACCTTTCTATTTGTCCTAGACTTATACTAGTTATTGCAAATAAGGAAAACCATGGGACCTATGTTTCTTTGGGCCTGGCTTACTTCACTTAATATAATTTTTTAATGGAAAGACTTAGAAAAAATTCCTTTCAATTTCTATCTGAAGGATACAGTAGCAGTATAAATAATATTTCTTATCATTGTAAGGAACATAAAGCCTGCTGTTGCTGAATGAATTTAAATTCTATTCACATATTAGAAGGAAAGCAGATTTGAGTTCCTGACATGTTGAAAGCTCAATTTACCACAGTCAGCAAAATCTGCCTTTGAACATTTTATGACAGTAAATCAATATTATAGAAGCTAATCAATACAACCAAGTTGAGCACAGCTTTTCTTCTACCTTCGCTACTACTTCTCTTTCTAAATTGGGGTGGAGAGGACACTACTCAATTGTTGTGTCCTTCAAAATAATCTTCCAGAGCCAAAACTATCTCACAGTCTTAGAACGCAACTATTTTGGTCTATGTCATTGAGATATTGTAATTACATTTATTGCACCCAAACTAGTAACAGCTCAAGTTCAAGACCAACTTTTAAACCAACATTTTTCTGACATCAACTGGATTTAGGAGACATGTTCCAACTAAAATTTGATTCATACAATGTTTTCAGAATATGTGTTTAGGGCTTTTTCTTACATTCACTAATTCTGTCTCATAAAAATTTTATATGTATTGTATCAAATTCCATCTTTGCTACATACACATTGGTGTCACTCAAAGTTTTGTATACTTTCTTGCATATTAACAAGTGTACAGTATAAACATTTGCTCTCTGATTGCTTATAGCTTTCATTACATTCACTGTGATACAAAAGTAGACAATTAGAAGCCGTGAGCAGTGGCTCACTCCTGTAATCCTAGCTACTCAGGAGGCTAAGATCTGAGGATCGTGGTTCAAAGCCAGGCTGGGCAGGAAAGTCCATGAAACTCTTATCTCCAATAAACCACCAGAAAAAACTGGAAGTGGCGCTGTAGCTCAAGTGGTAGAGCGCTAGCCTTGAGCTGAAGAGCTGAGGGACAGCGCTCATGCCCAGATTTCAAGCCCCACAACCAACAAAAACAAAAACAAAAAGAAAAAAAGTAGACAATTAGGCTTTGTCAATTAAAAACTAATTTTAAAAGACATCTGTATCACATTAACTGTGCCTTTCATTATCATTTTCTTTCATAAAATCTTACACTCAGTTTAAAATTTGATTTTGAAATCTTTTTTTCTAAAAAAATTACATGAAAATCTAATGGGGGGAATTTTAACAAGAATAAGGCCAATAACTCCTCAAAATCACAAAGCTATAAACATCTATAAACAGTCACTTTATAGTATAATGCTACTTTGGGCAAATAAAAACAAAATAAAAAGCCCTGAATCTTTCAGACATTACATTTAACTGACACTGAGACAAGATTTAAGATTCAGGAAACAAGTTTAGAAGACTCTACAGGGATACAATTAGCAAAATCCAGGAAAAGGAAACTACAGAAAAACCTATCATTTTTATTTTACAATAAACTGTTTTTACAAAAGAGAGAGAATCAAAGATTAAAAGAAATTTCAGAAACAAAATACAATGAGTTAGATACTATTTTGAAAAACCAATCATATTTCTTTTAGATAAGTGAGGAAATTAAAGTGCTATTTGATTATTAATGTACTCATACCTTACTCATGTAACTGTAACCCCTACGTACAGCATCTTTACAACAAAATAAAATAAAAAAAGAATGTTAAAAATTTAAGTATGATAACCAAGTTAGTTATATAAAAAAGTACTCATTGTTTAAGGCACACATCTAATATTTGTTTCAAAATAATGGGTGTGTGGGAAGGTGGAGAATGGGGTAGAGATACGGATGAAACAAGACTGGCCACAGACTGAGAGTTCATAAATACATGATAGTTTATTTTCTGTTCTTTATTTTTAAGAATATTTTTTCTGTGGTAAGAAGTTAAAAACATGTATCAAAAACTTACTTAAAACATTTATATGGTTCCAAATTTAAGCTGATATAAAAGATACATACTAAGTAGTATTATTCCTATCTTTATAGGTGATTATTTTTATTCTGAGCCTTTCATTGATTCTTTTGTTGTTGTTGGTCATGGGGCTTACTCTGGGCCTGGGCACTGTCTCTCAGCTCTTCAGCTCAAGGTGAGCTCTCTACCACTTGAGCCACAGTACCACTTCCAGTTTTCTGGTGGTTTATTGGAGATAAGAGTCTCATGAACTTTCCTGCCCGGGCTGGCTTTGAACCATGATCCTCAGATCTCAGCTTCCTAAGTAGCTAGATTTACAGGTGTGAGCCACTGGTGCCTGGCTTCATTGATTCTTTTTTCCCCTACTATCCCTTAATTTTTTAAACTTAACAATAGATAAATCTATAACAAATAGATCTGTGAATCTCTTCCCCCTTCCCTTCCCACCCTTCCTTTCTTCCCCTCTTCCCCTCTTTCTTCTTTCCTCTCTCCCTCTCAAAGATTTCATATCCATATCTCATATCTATATGTTCAAGCTACCTTGAACTCTGAATTCAAAACTACTAAACTTGAGCTGGATATGGTGGTCCCTACCTTCAATCCCAGTACTGGGAGACCAAGGCAGGAGGATCACACGTTGGAGGTTAGCCTGGGCTATACGGGTGAAAGCTTGTCTCAAAAACAGCCACCAAAAATTAAGCACTGTACCACTGTATCATAAATCTAACAAAACATGCACAGGATTCATGTGCTGGAAAGCACATAAGGCTGGTAAAAGGAATTGAGGAGATAAAAAAAATGGAGAGGTATTTTATTCCTGAACTGGAAGACGCAACAGAATAAAAATGTCAATTCTCTCCAATCTGATCTATAGGTTTAATGCAAATGCAACCAAAATCTAAGTAAAAATTTTGACAATATAAACTAAAGGATTCCTAAATTTATGTGGAGAGACAAATGAACTAGAATATCTAAAAAATTACAAAAAAGAATAAATTGTAAGGAATATGATGGTTAATTTGAAGATTTACTACCATGTGACTATAATCAAGATGGCCGGTTGGTGAAATAGACACATATATCAGTGGAACAGAATTAGAGTCCACTAGTAGATATAGCCAATTAATTGACTTTTGGTAAAGGAACAAATGTAATTCAATGGAGAAAGGGTAGGTAATCTTTTCAATGAATGGTGTTGTAACAATTGAACATTCAAATGTTAAAGTTGAACTAAAACTAAAACTTCCTATTTCATATAAAGCTAATTAAAAGAAGATCACAGAGCTAAATATAAACCCAAGGCTATAAAACTTTATAGAAGAAATATGGAATAAAATCCATATGATATAGTATTATTTGGTAAAGAATCCTTAGACATGATATTCCAAAACATCCAGAGAAAAACTATTGTTTTGTGAAAGACATTACCTGAGAATAAAAGGATAATCTACAAACTGGGAGAAAATAGTTGCAAATCAAATATCTTTTTTTTAAAATTTAATTTTATTTTATTTGTGAACATACTGTACAGAGGGGTTACAATTACATGGGCAGGATAATGCAAATCAAATATCTTACAAAGTGCTATTTTGTGAAGTACGTTCCTTAACTGCTCCAGCATTTCAAACTAACTGTAAAGTAATTCTGAGCTTACCCATTTGTCACCAAGACTCCAGTTGGCACCATGTCCCTATTGAGAGCCTCCACTGACCAACGACTCAAGTTCTGAGATGACTTTTTATTTGTTAAGTCATGTACTAAAATAATACCTAAAAGAGATAATAATGTCAGTATTATAACAACGTCTCTTCATTTCACAACTGGCAAAGAGAATCTTGATCTTAATAAGCATAAGCATGAATCTAGCATTCCAATGTGAATAACAAAACAGAATTTAAAATTTCCTCGATAAGCAGTGACAAATAATTAACTACAAAAGTTCGTCAATTATTTAAGCTTTAAAACATTTTACAAGGGCCTTTAAAATGTGATTAAATATTTGGAATGTCTTTTCTTATTTGTCACTCAAACTTCCCTAGTGCTTCCTCTTATGTTTGGTCCTACTTGCTGAGCTACTTCATCTTTCTGTAGTGACACAGTCCTGCAAACCTAGCTACTGGAGAAATAGAGACAAGAGATCATCAGTTAGGGAGACTATCTGAAAAAAAAAGGGGGGCTGTCAGTGTGGCTCAAATAGTATAGCAGTGGCCTAGCATGCAGGAGACCAACAACAAAATGAAAACAGTGCTTAAGTATAAGAAATTATATTCATTCAACAAGTTGCATTGTTTCTGTATAAGTACTGCTACAGATAACAGTATAAAAATATATTGCTGGGCTGGGAAGGTAGCTCAGTGGTAGAGTGCTTGTCTTGCATGCATGAGGCCCTGGGTTTGATTCCTCAGTATCACATAAGCAGAAAAAGCTGGAAGTGGCACTGTGGCTCAAGTGGTAGAGCTCTAGCATTGAACTGAAGAGCTAAGGGACAGTGCCCAGACTGAGTTCAGGCCCCATGACCAACAAAAAAATAAACAAAAAAAAATATATATATATGGATATATTGCTTATATACACCCCAAACAATGTTAACACAGATTTATTAAAATAATCTTCATTAAATTTGTATAACTGCTATTCTTTAACAGACAAACATTGTCCCAGGGGGCTGGGAAGGTGTGTCAGTGGTAGAGTGCTTGCCTTGCATGCTTGAGGCCCTGGGTTCTATTCCTCAGCACCACATAACCAGAAAATGCTGGAAGTGGCGCTATGACTCAAGCGGTAGAGCGCTAGCCTTGAGCTGAAGAGCTGAGGGACAGTCCCCAGGCCCAGAGTTCAGGCCCTATGACCGACAAAAAAAAAAAAAAAATTGTCCCATGGATTACTTAGACCTCATTGATTTAAGAGTTTCACTTTTAGTTCTTTGAACTAAATGGTTAACCATATAAGCTTGTTACATATAAAAGATTTAGTTAAACATACAAAGGATATATGCCATTTAAGGATAAATGAAAGAGATCACCAAAAAGTATGAATCCAAAATATGGACATTTTGAGAGATTAAGAAGCATAACAAAATGTATCAAATACAATTAAACAGATGGGTTAAGATCCTAGAATCTCATTATCTTGCTCATGTAACTGCAACCCCTCTGTACAGTATTTTTACAATAAAAAATGTATTAAAAAAGATCCTAGAATCTAAAAGGTAGGGAATATTTTTTCTGCCATGGGCCATTGGATATTTATAACAATATTCATGGGCCATACAAAATTATAAATACAAGCAGATAGGTATGAGCAGCCACTAAGAAGCTTAGGTGTCTGTCCTGTCAGGTACCAAATACTTTTACAGGCCCTATATAGCTAGTAGGCTGGATATTCCCCATTCTTGTCAGAAAGGCAAAGCAGATCATTACAATTATATATAGTGGGATTTAGAATATCATTTGTGGCCTAGATAGGTTATCAAACTCCCAATACCTTCCTATATTACCCTGAGTCTACTAGAGAAGAGGACCTGGAATCTATGATTCATCCATCTTCACATATGGGATACATCAATTTGAAGAAGAAGGAAGAAGAGGTAGAATCAGTATCTCTAGTTTTTACAGACATGGGTATAACTGGTATATTTATATAAGATATAGTTGATTATAGATTAACTTTGTCTCTCTTGGTATCTAGAATAGAGACCTGATATTTGCCCTCATATCTAACTGTACTCACTCTATAACTTTCTCAGTGAAGGGTTCTTACAGGCACATCAAAAGCACACACATATGAATTATATATATATATATATATATATACCTATAATATATTCATATATATGAATAAAGGACTGCAACTAAAGAATATAGCTAATATTTATTTAGTACTTATGGGATAGTATTGTGCTTAACTTGTGGTATCTAATTTAATTTTCAGAGGAGTGCTATGCGGTAAGAATTATTGTTACCTACACAGAGGACATGAGACTCAGAGATGCTGAATAACTTGTTCTAAGTCACATGGTAATCAGGGTAGCCATAATGTGGATTAGGAGGTTTTTGTTTGATTGCTGTTTGTGTTTTGACTGAGGATGAAACCCAGGGCACTGTTGTACTTGAGGTACACTTCTATTGCTTGTACTCAGATATTTTGATGGTAGAAGACTGGGGGAAGCAAAGTAGAACCTCATTTTAGGGTAAAAGAAACAGTAGATAATTTCACTCTCCTTTATTTTCAGGTATTAATGCTACAAAATTGTAGGTGGGACTGTTGGTTGGGAAAGTGAAAGGATTACAAAAGATCTACGCTGGCTAGCTGATGGACAAGAAAGTTTATTTTATCTATCTGAAAGGCTTTAGAGGTTTTAAGAGCATCTGAGCATCCTCTTTCTAATTCTTTTTCTTTTAGTCTGAGAGTTCTTATTTTGTAGGATAGTACTTGAAGAGCCAACGTGAGACCTAGATGAAAAGAGAATGACAGATGATAAGAATATAGTCTATTTTAATGGAGAAAAGCAAAGACACTTCAAAATATGAGTTTACTGAGGAGATTATGCCTGCAAAGAAGGTACAATGCTAAGAGAAATTACTGCTAAGATAAAGACTGAGCTTTTGAATGAAAAGATCCTTATGTTCTCTTTCTTAGAGTCCTACATAAGGAATCTTGAGAGCTTCTACTAGAAGAAATACTCTAGAGCTATAGTAAAAGAACATAGAAATCTTGCCAGGCACCAATGGCTCACGCCTGTAATCCTAGCTACTCAGGAGGCTGAGATCTGAGTATCGTGGTTCAAAGCCAGCCTGGGCAGGAAAAGTCCGTGAGACTCTTATCTCCAATAAACCACCAGAAAACTGGAAGTGGCGCTGTAGCTCAAGTGGCAGAGTGCTAGCCTTGAGCTGAAGAGCTGAGGGACAGCGCTCAGGCCCAGACTTCAAGCCCCACGGCCGACAAAAACAAAACAAAACAAAAAACGAACATAGAAATCTTGTGAGTTAGAAAAAAAAATTGGTAATTAAGTGAAGTAAGTCAGACCCAAATAAATAGGTTGCATTGTTTCCCTCATTTGTGGTAGCTAGAATGTGCCTATAAATCTATAAGTAAACACACCGGGTGGTAAGCAAAGGATTACAAGTAAATTAACTGAAGTGTAACAGACTCAATGGAGAGTACAAATAGTACAATTCTTTAGTACTTGCAATTCTTTAGTACTTGGGGCCAAAAGGAGAAGGGTAGAAGAATGAAAGGGGGAAGTGAGGAGAATACAGAAGGGGAATGAAAATGTTGAAGTAATGACGCAGATTAAGATGCACTGTATACATAAATGGCTTTGTTAACAGCAAAAAAATTAAATACGTAACCTAAAAATTAAGAAAAGTGAGGGAAGGGGTGGGTTGGGGGGATGAGTAAGAATGTTAAAAGGGACGACACTGATCAAGATGCATGGCATTCATAAACTGCTTTGGTGAATAGCAACTCCTTTATACAACTACTCAAAGATAACACAAATGTTTAAAAAAAAACAGGGCTATATTTACCATTAGAAATCAGGAATTTTACCTCAGTCTTACCAGCAAAACCAACACAGACTATTATGCATTTTTTAGATGATATTAGAGGAGACAGACAGTGCTCTGGAAGTTCTTTGTTTTCTGTCAAGTACCTAAAAGATGATTTTATTTCTAAATATTAGTTTGAAACAATAATAAAGACTAAGTAGATGTTTACTGTTCTGAATTACTTGGCTGGAATATATAAGCATAAACTGAATGGGACATGCAGATTAAAATCAAGAGTCATGAGTACTATTAGATCTTTCTCAAATTTGAGATGAGTCTGGCATATTATAGCATTTCATATTAGATGATTTGTACTCCTATACTGCTAAAACATGGAAGAAATTTAAAATGTTTTACCATTTACAGAATTGTAGAATACTGCTCTTGTGCTTTTCACACTGCTGGCACTACCCACAGAGCCTCCAACATCCCACAGTTCTATGTAGAAAGTCTTCTCTTCTGGGGTTCCTTCTTTGTAGTCGTGAACCTAACAGATCAATTAAAATCATTATTAGATTCACTAAACCAATTGGTAAGCACCCTCATTCAGTTTAAAGCATTGGGAATTTCAAATCAACTTCTTTCTTGTCTCTCTGATCGTCATCTCCTTTCATAGAAATACTCCAACTCTAGTAATCTTCCATCTTAGAAGACTATCGCTAATTGAAGCTAACATCTTTTATAGCTCCTGCTATTTCCAAAGCTTCAGTTTGTAACTAAGAACAAGTTCCAGGATCCATGCTTATGTTCTTGTGCCTCTTTCACATTACATTTACCTAACAAAATTCCAATCCTAAATCACAGCAACTTCTTCCTCTGTTCTATGTCTACTATCTGGCTACTTGATTGTGGAGTTCAGAAAAACAGAGACAAATGAAATTCATTTAAAATTTAAGTGTAGTGTCCCATTGGAACCACCTTTCTATCAACTTGGTAGTTCTTTCCTTTTCCCTGATAATTGTTTCATGTTTTTAAATTTCTTTCAAACTCAGTAACAGCTAACAACTGTTTCCTAGGACAGAATGAATAAGAAAAGAACCCCTGCAATCTGCTTTCCACATCTCTACCTCCCTGCTTGTGTGCTCATATAATCTGATTTCCTTCTACCTCTTACCTCAAGGCTGTCCATATCCCTTAGGGCTAAATTCTTCCAGGTATGAAATCCCATCCCCATGTTCTTAGTAAATGATGTAGTCTCATCAATTCTTCCCCTTCCCTCTTTTTAATTTTAAGTCCTTTTCTTTTATTTGCTTCACAATATAAACTGCCAAATACATACACACACATCAATTCATGCTGACACTTCAGTTTTGTTTACAGCGGCATCATCCTCCTTTTTTGAGATAATACAATTCATCCCGTCACTCTCTCATGTTAGCTTGCTGATTGTTTCCAGTTTTGATAATTAAAAGGAGCCTACCAATGACTATAATCATAAGTATTTATCATTATGATGTATCCACACACAGCATAATTTTCATAATTATCAGAGTAAAGAGGCAGCCTCCAAAAGGAGGGAAATTAATCATCTGCACAAGTTCATTAGACAAAGGATTGATGTCCAGAATACATTAAAAAAGAACTAAAGAAGAAACACTTCAGAGAGCCAGTAGTCCAATCAGTAAATGCGCAAATATAACATGAAACCCATTGTTCTGTATTAGTAAGGTACACTAATGAAAGAAAAGATGCAAGTACATATATATTAGTGTAAGTCCAATGTTTTATTTATTTATTTGTTTGTTTATTTATTTTTGGGTCCGGTCGTGGGGCCTGAACTCTGGGCCTGGGCGCTGTCCCTCAGCTCTTCAGCTCAAGGCTAGCACTCTACCACTTGAGCCACAGCGCCACTTCTGGCTTTTTTTCTTTTTGCTTATGTGGTGCTGAGGAATCGAACCTAGGGCCTCATGCATGCAAGGCAAGCGCTCACCACTGAGCCACATTCCCAGCCCTAAATCCAATTTTTTAATATAATTAAAAATAACATAATGGCAATTACAATACAACTTAGATATTAAATGCCTTGTGTATATATAAAATATAGAGTGAATATATAATATTCACTGTGTCATTAGACTATTGAGAAACAGGAACCCTAATAGACTGTAAAACATGATAGAACACTCATAAGAAAAAATGTAGCACTTCCCTCTTTTTTTTGGTGGATATTTGAGTTTTTATTACATATATAAAAATACAAATATGAACAAACTACATAAGGTTGAAACATTCAAGGTACATTTGGTCTAGGACAAAATTGAGAGCTATAATGGTTTAAAAAAATAAAGGTTGCAACATTTTAAATACTACATGGAATTTTGGAATTTTTTAAGTTACCAGAATTGCCACCTGATTCTCAACAGCTAAACTTCTGCCACCTGTACACATATATTCCAATTCTACATTCACCCCACGGGAAGTTCCTAAAGTGAAGACAGAGTCCAGCCATTCTTTTGGATCTTAACAATGTTGTCCTCATGACTTTTGTCAGAACAGTGAAGGATGATCTGAGATGGACCTAGGTGATCAGTTCCATCTATTTCAACCACAGGGTAAGAACAAGATAAGAGACTTGCTTCCTTTGGACCAATCTCTAGCTGTCCAGTTGTCTATGGTGGCAATGCTCTCCTATCTTTCTCTCAAGGCTAGTGTCTACGATCTCTAATCAGGCTCATTTGATTCTGTGTTTGGTTCTTTCTGACTATAGACTTAGACTGACTCATGACGCAGTCCTTCATTAACCTAGGATTATGAGGTCTTCATGTACTGTTTGATAAACCATTTAGATTATGAAAGAAAACCACTAAAGTATTACTAAAACTGGCAATAAATGCTTCATGGGAACAAAGCTGCTCACTGATTGTGGAGCTGAAAAGAGCCTGATTGCTATATTTGGTAGTAACTCTGAAGTATGCACCATTCTTTCTTTAAAGATGGTGACACAGAAATGTTCCTCTCTTAATAATATCCCAAATGTGGTAAAATGCTCCTAAAACTGACCTAATATTTCTTTGTGTATGCCAATCCTGGGGCTAGAACTCAGGGCCTGGCATTGACCCTGAGCTTTTGTGCTAAAGACTAATGCTCTACCACTTTGAGCCACAGCATCATTCTCTGACTTTTTGGTAGTTAATTGGAGATAGGAGTCTCATGTCCTTTCCTGCCTGGGCCGCCTTGGAACTGCAATCCTCAGATCTCAGCCTCCTGAGTAGGCATGAGCTACTGCTGCCCAGCTGATCTAATATTTTTTAAACTGAACATGTCTAGCACCACAATTTTCTTCTCTACTGGGTAATTCTCACTAGCATACAAATAGGCTACAATACTCATCTAGCTTCCATACCACTTCCTATTCCTTTTCATGGGAAAGCTTTCAAAAAGTTGCCTAGGCTGGGAATGTGGTTCAGTGGTAGCATGCCTGGCTAGCATGCATGAAGCCCTGGGTTCAATTCCTCTGCACCATATAAACAGAAAAAAACGGAAGTGGTGCTGTGGCTCAAGTGGTAGAGCATTAGCCTCCAGCACAGAGAGGCTCAGGGACAGAGCCCAGGTACCTAGTTCAAGACCCAGGATTGGCAAAAAAAAAAAAAAAAAAAAGGAAAGAAAAAAGTGCCTATTTACAGCTCTCATTCTTTTCCTTCACATTCTCTTTTGAACCCATTTCTATGAAACCTTTGTCCCAATTATGCCATTGAGCTATTCCTCCTCACCAGGATCACCATTTACCTACACCTTGCTAACTCCAATGGTGACACAGTAGCTGTTTTCATTTTACGCCACCATTTGACACAACCAGTCACTACTTTGTGCCTTGCAATACTTTCTTTCCCTTAGCTTCTAGATACTATACTTGGGTTTCTTTCTATCTCATTGGCTAGTCCTTTCTCTTTATCTCTCTGGCTTCTGATTATTCAAATATCCCAGGGTTTAATTCTTTATTGTTGTATCTTCTCTATCAGTACTTGCTTCTTGACAATTTCATCTGCTCTTAGAATTTTAAGTGTCATCTTTATGGTGATAAATTTCAAGCTTATCTCTACCCTGGAAACTTGGACTCCCATATCCGGCGGACTATAATTAGGATGTCTAATAGGCATTTCCTATTTAACATATCCAAAAGTAATATCCTGATATTCTTCTCAAGCTTATTTCTCTCACAGGTTTCTCTCCCAGTAAATGGCAATTCTGTCCTCTCAGTTATTTGAGCTACCATCTTTAAGAGTGATCCTTGACAACTTTCATACTGTACATTTGATTTGTCAGAAAATTTGTTGCTCTGACCTTCAAAACATTTCTTACCACCTCCACTATTATCATCCACATCAAAACTCCTATATATCTCTTCGCTTAAATTAATGTATGGTACCTTTACTAGTACCCTTACAGAGGCATCTCCATTTTGTTTTCCACGTAGCAGTTAGAGGGATCATTTACATTACACATGAATTAGGGATTCATGGTAGTGTTTAAGCTACTATGGTGGAGGGATTCAAAGATTATCTATCTATCTATCTATCCATCTTGGAATCCTTATCTGCCAGATTTCAGCTTCCTGGAACAGCTAGGTTGTCAGGCATGTGTCACAGTGACTAGCCTATTAATTGAGAAGAGGGGGGAGGGTCTCATGTATGTGCCCAGGCTGGCCCCAAACAGTGATTCTCCCAATCTCAACCTCCCAAATTAGCTAGAATTACAAGTGTGAACCACTGGCACTCAGTGATCATTTCAAAATCCAAGTGAGATCATCTCACTCTTCCATGTAAAACCTTCTGATATTTTTCACTAGGCATAGTACAGTTCAAAATCTTTCTTTTTTGCCTGGCTATAAAATAGGCTTCTATTGCCTATTTAACTATTCAACTATTTAACTATTCAGAAACAATTTTGAGAGATAGTAACAGATTAAAGTATGATGGTTCAGGGCTATACATCAGGTCTTCTATATGTGTGTATACATGTGTCTGTGTGTGTTTTATTAGCATATATCAGTTATACACAAGGAGTTTCACTATGACATTTTCACCTCACATGCATAAAATGAATACACAAAAATTTTAAGACTTATCTTTTTTTTTTTTTTTGAATTATACAGGCTAGTCCTATTGAATCAGGTTCTTTGGGGTAGTCAAAAGCATGCAGTTCACCAAATGATTCTGCCACAACTCTTTGCTTAATGATTGCTGATTTTATAGAATGGAACTATTCTGGAATTAGGAAGCTCAGATTATATTTCTTAATTCTTTGAGCCTCACTTTCCAAGAGACCTATTAAGAACATAAGGATCAGGCTCACAACAAAGACAGTGAGATAGAAAAATGAGAATAACAAAAGTCACAGCAATTGGAGAACATATTGGATAATTGAAATTAATACTGTACACTGCCCTAGAAAATATCCCTACTTTGCTATATGGTCTAAATAACTGATAACTTGTGGCCACACCAAATCATTAAAATAAAAAGGGTTGTTTAAAAAAGAAGATAAATG